TTAACTACACACACACACACACACACACACACACACACACACACACACACACACACTTACTTAAATGTAAAGTTACAGGGAAATTTCACAGCATGTCATAAGAGGTAATATCCACAGTTTCAGTGCACCAACTCTTTCATACTGGATTACAGTAGTTTTGATGTAACTTTACCACCTTGATTCTTGAATGTAAAAAGATCCTTTTGAAAACTCAGTTTAAAAGAATTATTAAAATAAAAACCTAACACACGTAGGCTCCCACTATATTTGTTTCTCATGTTCAGAGTCATGATTTCTTCAGAATGTATTACAACAGCAAAAGCAGGTGCAGTTTTGGTTCTTGAAAAATTGGTGTTTAAAGTTTATAAGCCATATTGATTAATGTCTTATCTAGGCTGATGTAATTGTAATGAAGACTAGTGATACAGACAACACTTAAAGCTCCTATCTTCTAAACATCATGCTCTAGTTTCCAAAATGTAGCAAGATTACTGTGTTCTAGCAAGCACGTCCCCAAGTTCATAATGTCACAGAGATATGCAAAGCACTGCCTTCTTAGCATTCTTAGCCACCTACGTTACTGACGCACAAAATAGCCAGAACAGAATAACTCACGAGTCTCAATTGCATGCAGCAAATCATAAATATAATAAGTATAATCAATCAAGTTTAGAACAATCTCCCTATAAACTCCTGGTGCTATTGTTTCTATTCTGAAACAAAGGCAGCTTATTTTATTATTCTATGACAACGGAATGATTTTAGTAAATCAGAGCCTTGAAAACTTCAGGTTATTTTTTTTCACAAAAATGACAATTCCTCATTAATGCTACAGGCTACATTTTCCATGAGTGAATTGTGAGGGTCCCAATCTCACAGTTGATGAGTATTGAAGTAAATATACTCAGACTGAGTGAAGTTAATGAACTTCAGGGTGCTCAGCACCTTGCAGAATTGAGTCCTAAATGCACAGTTAAGGACAATTAACCAAATTCATTACTGGTAGTATAAGTGGGTGCAACTCTATTGGAGTGGTGCCCTATACTAACAATGGCTTCAGCTTTGACTGATTTACATGAAAGCCAGTAAATATAAAGAAATAAGATCTTTTCCTAAAGCGAAATTGAAATGCTTAGCTCAACTGAAAATAAGCTATTTCTTTACGTGCACAGTGTAGGTTGTTGCCTCAATTCTGTGGTTAAAGATTTTGAAAAAAAAAGAGGAGCATAGATGTAAGCAAGGCCACAATTTGGCCTCAGGAAGATTTTATGCTTGCAACTGCACACTGATTAATGACTTCTTGCTCATTAGTTGCCACTTCCACTATATAAATAGCCTCCAGAAACCACTTTCCCCGCCTCATTGAAACAAACAATAATGTTTATCCCAAGAAAGATGAATAATGATGGAAGTTTTTAATACTGTTGCAACCAAATTATCTGACTCCTTCATTCCTTGATTTTATTCTATAATTCAGGGGAGTGGTGATGGGAAGCAACTGGGAGGTGGACAAGAGATGGGGGTTGGCGATCCTGAACAGTTGTGGGAGAGGGAAGAGATAGAAAAACATCTGGGACCATGGGACAGATGTGGGGGAAACGGGGAAGGGTAGCTGAAGAGCAAAAGAAATAGCGAGGAGTCAGAGTGGGAGAAGCAGAAGCAAACAAGTAGACAGCACGGGGCAGTGGAGAGAGGGCAGAACAACTTGGGAAGTATGGAAAGGAGAAGCAGGAAGATAATTAGAGCTAGAGGGAGTAGAGGGAAAAGGCAATTTTAATAGGAAGAGGACTTGTATGGCGAGAATCCCTGCTGGCCAGGAGATAGCAGGGCCAGGCGAAGAGGAACATGAAGTGTGATGCTGGTTAGCTAAGCAGGTGCTGAGTGTCAGCTGACAAGGAGACTGGGTGGAGAAGGAGAGTTGCCAGGGAGAATGAAGAGGGAAGGCAGGGGATGGTGCAGAGATCTGAGCCAGCTTTGAGAAGCTGCTCCCTCCTGGCCAGCTTTCTATAATCAGAAAAATTTAGTGCTCCAGAAATGCTGCAAATCTTTTGCCCCAAGAATGGCGCGAGTTTAGTCGACAGTGGCATGTTAGAAGCAAGGGGTTCACTTAAAATATGAACATTTGGTTCGTAAATATTTTTTTTGCAGTCACACCATTTGAAGTAGTGATTGTATCAATTTTTACACAGTAAACAAGGCCAGGATGGGGGACCTCCAGGAAAAACCAGGTACTTCAATGAACTGGTGATACAGGTGGTGGAACTCTCCCATCTGACCCATTCAGTAACAATGCCCCATTTTGATGCTAGAGGGCACTATGATGTTGACAGTGCTGTTTTTTGGTTGAGCTGTACGACTGAGTTTCTGACCACTTGTGTTCAAAGATTCCATGCACTTTTCATAGGAGTAGTGGTATTAACTCCATTTTTCTGGCCAAATTCCTGTTTTGGATAGCTACATTCTGCCTACCTAAATTCCCACCCCAGTTTCAACTGGATATGGTAGTCTTTCCGTTTGTTCTATACAGTTTAGTAGTATTGCTGTGGCATGGTTTTCATATTTCATCCTAGAGGTGACCGTATTTCAGTGGTTGGTGGAATGATTTCTATGCATTTTATTTGTACCATTACTTATTAGCATTTGTAACACTCTGTGCGACCTTGCAAATGAAAGTCACTCTAAACAATTAAGACAGTTTTCATTTAAGTCCTCACAAATATTACTATTTTTCATATCTATTCTTCTGAAATATTCCCTGTTCTAAAAGAGTTTATCCATATATCCTATTAAGATAAAATGCCTTCTCTCACTTTTTCAATAAATATCCTGAAACATATTAAATTATTGGGATCCATACAGACAGATTTGGCAGCCTTTTCATATTTATTTGAACTGCCAAAGATAAATTGTATATGTACATAGCCTTCACGGAATGAGTTATCTGAATAAATGTGTATTAGCAGAATTTGACTTCTTTTTTGTGTCTGATTCACTCTCAGATAAAAACTCCCATTAAAGTCAATGGAGTTGCAAAACATTTAACTGAACAGAATTTATCCTCAGATTGTTTCTGTTATGTATGGTCACATTTGTCAGTTATTCTTTTAATTTGTTTTTCCACTTTCAAAACTTTTTTATTATGCTTCTTTTATGCATTTTGTAATGGTTAGCTGAGGCTTTCCATGGTTTATTTTATAAAGCTTTGATACAAAGAAAATTTAAAAACCATCAAGTGAACCATTTTTCTACATAGAGATCCATTGTATTTATAAACCTAGCAGCATTGCAGAGTGCTGTTTGATAACTCCTTAATTAGGGAAAGCCATCAATAAGTTTAGAAGGGCAGTTGGCTCCTAGACACTTTAGAATATACAGATGGCCACCATTGCGGCACCCATCCACTCAACTTTGCTCTCTTGCCTAGGAGCAGGACTGATTGTGTGTTCAGTGTCAGAGGGGTAGCCGTGTTAGTCTGAATCTGTAAAAAGCAACAGAGGGTCCTGTGGCACCTTTAAGACTAACAGAAGTACTGGCAGCATAAGCTTTTGTGGGTAAGAACCTCACTTCTGTTAGTCTTAAAGGTGCCACAGGACCCTCTGTTGCTTTTGTGTGTTCAGTGTTACCTTTCATAAAAATAAACTAGGAGGGAAATGCTTGGTCTACACATGCAAATGGCTCATTTGTACACTTGCATCACAGGCCCATCTACTAAGGCTGGCCAGAAACAAAGAATTCTGTTTCACAAAAAATATTGAGGTTTCAATATTTGTTTTCATTCTGCATTAAAAGAAAAAACAAACAAACAGACCTTTTAAGATTTTTTCATGAAAGGAGAGAGCACCACTCCAGAATAGCCAATAGTTAGGGAACTCACTTGGCATGTGAGAGAGACCCAGGTTCAAGTTCCTGTTCATCCTGATTTGGACTAGGGACTTGAACCTGGATCTCTCCCACATCCCAAGTGAGAGACCCTTGATTACCAGGCTATTGGAAATTCTGGGTTCGCTTGCTCTCTGAACAGAAATTCCACCCTGGGCCTGAGAAACATTTTTGTCTAAACTGATATGTTTCCATGAAAAGTTTCAGTTTCAACAAATCAGCGTTTTCCAATGGGAAAAAAAAATCCTGAACAGTTCTAACATCTATTTTAAATATCATTTAAAGGGTGTCCAGTGGTTCCATTACAACTTCATAAGAATTATTCCTTTTTTAAATCCACACACAAACAATTATTCAGCTAAACCCTACTCCTTAAAACAACTGCGCTGGAAAGTGCTTTAAAACTAGCAATCGGGAGACCAGGTTTCCCCTCCTAGGCTGCCACTGTGTGACCTTATGTGTGTGTGTGTGTGTGGGGGGGGGGGGAAATCACAAATTTCTTTGTGTCTGAGGCCTGGTCTACACTAACCCCCCAATTCGAACTAAGGTACGCAACTTCAGCTACGTGAATAACGTAGCTGAAGTCAACGTACCTTAGTTCGAACTTACTGCGGCCCAGACGCGGCAGGCAGGCTCCCCCGTTGACTCCGTGTACTCCTCGTGCCGAGCAGGATTACCGGAGTCGACGGCGAGCACTTCTGGGTTCGATTTATCGCGTCCAGACAAGACGCAATAAATCGAACCCAGAAGTTCGATTGCCTGCCACCGAACCAGCGCGTAAGCCCTTAGTTTCTCCATGTCTTAAACGGAGATAAGGATTATCCCAATCTTTGTAAAAGACTGATCTCCAAAAATGAAAGGCGGGCTATGTAAGAGCTCAATAATACTATTAAAAGGAATTATGTTCATGAGCCTGTACTGGTCCTGATTTTTATTTCTATTTTTTTGAGACACAGGAAAATATGACCTGTTATATTTATTTCACATATAGTAGTGTTAAGGCTCACAAGTGCTAAATTTTTCTGTAACACATAAATACCTCTTGAGAAGTTAATGGAAGTTGTGTGCGCATATCTTCAGTGAAAAAACCTGAGACTATTTCAGTGCTGAGTGAAAAGAGCAACAAGTACCTTATTTCCAGCAGAGCTGAAGGAAAACAATTACATTTTTTCATTTGTCCAGAAGATGCTCCAAATGGTTATCGATTCTACAAAAGGGAGGTGTTGCATTTGGTTAATTTTCATTTAAGGATAGAACTGGTTAGTCCTCTTTATTTTCATTTTAAATTTATGGCATGCAATTAATAAAGCAGATTCCACTCATTTTTGGCAATGAGAGCTTGATGACTGAGTGAATCATGATTTTGTTGGGAGCTTTTTGCTGTAACTTTTCCACAATAAGTGACATCAAGGTGATTTCTATAAAAGAGTTGTGGTAGCAGGTGAGAAGAAATGCTTCAGGGCTCTACGCTTCATAGTTTAAACCAGTCTCTGTTAGGGATTAAGGATGTGGGTGGGGGCACAGATTATTCCACATCTACCTACTGTGAGGTTTTTACAGCTTCATCTGAAATATATGGTACCAGCCCCTGTCAGAGACAGGCTACTGAACTAGATGGGCCTTGGATCTGATCCCAGTATGGCAATTCCTGTGTTCCTAGATGATTCTATGTGCTCTATTCTTTGGATGAAATATGAACCAATACAGAATTTGTTCAGAGTCTCTAGTAGCTGGTAGATAATACAGATTGAAATTATTTAGACATAGGCTGGCTGTTATTCTGATATTTTATAAGGATGCAGGTATAAAAGAATCCAGTGTGCTCCATTTTCATGGTACTATATGTGTGATTTTTACAGGTATCACTAGAAATTGGAAGGATCATGATTAAATAAACTGTTAGGATGGTCCAGGGTCAGAATAAGGAAAAAAGCAGCAGTGCTCTATTTGAGTTCTGCCCACTGTGCATGGGACTGAAAATTCTAAACTTGGCTCTGTCACTGATTCACTGGATGGCCTTGAGCAAGTCTCTTAGCCTGCCTGTCTCAGTTTCTATAAAAGGGAGATCACGATGCTTATCTAACTATCTCATAGGATTGTTATGAGGGTTGATTATCACCTCTAAAGCATTCTGAACATGTAAAGTACTCTTTAGAGCCAGTAATTAATAGTACGACAATACTGATAGGTAACTTGTGATTGTGATAATTAGGCTCCAGAAGTAACACATCACTGAAATCAAATGAAGACAACTCACTCTTTCATAGCATGTCCTTTAAAGGTTTCCATCTGGAAACTCAGGAGCAAGGCATTGCATCTGCTTACAGTCGGAATGTTTTTCTTTGAAGCGATAAAGCTTAGATATTTAAATAACAATAATAATAAAATGAAAACTATTTGTATTACCATAGCACCCAGGCGCCCAACTCACGGAATTTTAAATTAAATCTTAAATTCTGCAAAACTGAAGAGGCACTAAAATATTGATAAAGTGCTAGCACAAATCAAATGCCTGGGGATATTTTTTCTCCTGAAAGACCCAGCATACACAACAGTACAATCAGTAATATGTCCACATTTGTTGCACTAAACGGATGAACAACGTCATTCATGTTTTAGAGAAATCTGTTTAAACTATTTTACAGAACTGGCAATAGGACAAACAGCACTTGTGAAAAGAGGAAGAAAGTGCCACCCTGTGCAGAGAAGTCTCCTCTGGGCAGACAGGACCTCCCCTACTGGATTTCATATACATTATGTTTAGCCTCTGAAGTAAGCTGGCTCTGAGTAAAGCTTTACTTGTCAATTTCACCTATGCACTTTCAAATACCAGCAGTCTCTACTGGCACTACTGGCCTGGGAACGGGCCAGATGCAGATCTCCTACCAGAAGCTAGCAATCCCACAGCCTGATGTTTCACAAATAAGAAAAGCCTGGAAACCTTTTACCTTTCCTCTTCCTCCACTTTTGAAGGTAGGAGGATCATAATTATTACTACAAGTGAATCACCCTAGCAACATTCTCAGTGTACACTGATCCTTTGGAATTTAGGGGGTTTTTTCCGGCATCCAATTATAGCCATTAGCAGTCACGACAGCCAGCCTCCGGGTTCTAAATGATGGGGGCGGGGAGGTTCTGCAAGACTGTCAAGAATGTTTTCTCTCACTTACATTTCTTAGTCTACATATGGTGGGCAGCAATATCAATGGTTTATTGAACATGATGCTGTAAAGCTATGAAAAGCCTAGCTGGTTCTCAAGTTGCTTAGTCTACAGGAGTAGTGAGGTTATTTTATCTCCGTATTTAGCACTGGTGCAACCCTGCTGGAATACTGTGTCCAGGTCTGGTACCCACAATTCAAGAAGGATGTTGATAAATTGGAGAGGGTTCAGAGATGAGCCATAAGAATAATTAAAGGATCAGAAAACATCTTATAGTGATAGACTCACGGAGCTTAATCTAATTAGCTTAATGAACAGAAGGCCAAGGGATGACTTGATTACAGTCTGTAAACTCCTACATAGGGAACATATTTAATAATGGGCTCTTCAATGTAGCAGAGAAACGTGTAGCAATCGAATGACTGCAAATGGAAACTAGACAAATTCAGACTGGAAACAAGGTGTACATTTTTAACAGTGAAAGTAGCTAATCATTGGAACAATTTACCAAGAGTCATGGTGGATTTTCCACCCCTGACAATTTTTAAATCAAGATTGAATGTTTTTCTAAAAGATCTGCTCTAGGAATTATTTTGGTGAATTTCTGTGTCCTGTGTTATGCAGGAGGCCAGATGACATGATCACAGTGGTCCCTTCTGGCCTTGGAATCCATGAATTCGGTGAATACATAACATTTCTCAAAGAACTAAAGCAATCCTATTGTCCAAAGAACTAGACTTTTCATCTGGCAGTGCACAGCTCATAGTTACATTTTTCCTGAGCTCCAGCTTGCGTAAAACATGCAAGACTCCTGCTATACCCTAGCTGGGTGAAATACAGAAGTTCAGGTACAGGTCATAGTGTGTGACTGAAGAGCCACATTTGGCAAAATAAAATTTGGCTCAAAGAGGCAATTTGATCCAATAGAAAGGTGCATTCTATGGGGTTGCCCCAGAAATTCTATGGACGAGTTCAGGAAGGATTTTTAAAGCTAATTGTTGAGTATAAGAATGTCCTTAAAATCCCAGCTTCAGAAATAAGAATTTCTCAGCTACCTCTATTAAGTTTGACATATAGTACCCTTCAAAAACAATTAAAACATCGTGAAGTTTGAGCCACATACACTCACTATCTAGGACAGAAAAGAATGTTGACTTCAAATTTGAACAATGTGATTCCAGGCTAGAAGACTTAATTTGGCATCTTTTCAAACAAACTTGTGTGGTACTTTGTCTGGCAGTCTTGAGACAAAGGATTATGCTCTCCAATTCCCTCTAAATTGTTCAGGACGCAGCCAGTCCAGATCTAAATTTCCCCCTTTCCCAAATGACAGCTTCATTGACAAAAGACAAATCACCACCTACTAAGGGAACTGCAAACACATATATCTATTTTTACAAAGTCTAACAAATCTAGATTTATCAATCATAATGGAACACTTATTTCCTTAATCACCACCCCCAAAACAATGAAAGATTTAAGTTAAAGAGCATGAGGCAGAGGCATGTTCTATATCAGGGGTTGGCAACCTATGGCACACGTGCCAAACACAGCATGCAAGCCGATTCTGAGTGGCACGCTGCCTGCCCGGTGAGAGGAGGAGGAGAAGGGGCGGAGGGGCCGGAAAGCGCCATGCTGGGGGAAGAAGC